CTCTCTCTCTCTCTCTCTCTCTCTCTCTCTCTCTCTCTCTCTCTCTCTCTCTCTCTCTCTCTCTCTCTCTCTCTTCTTCTTCGTCGTAGTCTGCTTGCAGATGCGCGGCGGCTTCTTCGTCCTCAGGTCCGCTATGGCGTTATCCCCTTCGGCTGCCACCTCGGCTATGGCGCATCAGGCCCTGCAGACGACGGCGCGCATGGAATAGCGGGTACCAGACTCGTTCTCAAACACACTTTTCATGCATGTAAACAGCAACGCAGCATACTGGCGACATGCGGCCACTCAAAACTCAGAGATCTGGCTTTCAGACACGAGTTCACTCTCAATAGGCTATGGCGACTTCAGCGCCCAAACATCTCACTGTTCACATACACGGGATCACCCTGGATATCCCACACGCATCACTCTAGCACTCGAACACACACACRCACTCACTACTAACTACAGCTATGGCAGCTATCGCTGCATCTAACCTATCGCTATGCTAACTCCCTCTCTCTTGCCCACTGCTTCCTCCGGGCTCATCTGCAGACCTCCTTGCACAAGTCGCTGTGGCAGCGCTTCCGCATGGCTCACGCAGGAATGAATGAATGGCTGGGCGCTGCTGCTTGATTTATACTTCAGAAACTCGTTGGTCTGCCCTTTGCCATCGGCCCATGGTGCTCACAGTTCCCCCGTGGTACTTGCTGGACCGGACTGGGACTGACTGGACCTTCTGCTGACTGACTGTGGACTCACCGCTATCCTACCAACGCTGTACTGCTGTTGCACTGCGGTTTAGTCCACCACTTGCCTTGCCACTTGACCACTTGCCCACTTGCCTACCTTCTAGAAGGGCTACAGCTAAGCTGCCGGAACTCACTAAGACTCCTACGCTATAGACGTACAGATCGAACCCCTGCTGCCTATGGACCTATGACAGGCCTACCAACTGTCTACGAATACACAGGTCACAGGTTCAATTCTCGGGGTCTACACAGATACTGTACATGGGTAGGGTGAGGTCTAGGGATAGAACCCTGGGTACTGCATCCGCTACTGCTAAAAGGTGAAAACCGTTTCACAAAAGCCGCAATAATCGTCCTCAGGCGCATTACAACTTACAACTAAAAGGGCTTTTGGGTAAAGTTCAGCCAACTTTATCCGACTCTAATACACTCTACCATATTTATTGAATTATTATTTAAATATATTATTTATTTAATGAAGACACCCTGAATTTTCAACTGTAACCTTTTTTTTTTTTTTTTTTTTGAATTAATTGAAATGGTTTCACCCAGTAGACCCGACATTTGCAGACACAGAGATTCGATCCCTAGACCTGTGCCCAAACCCTGTACATTGACCCTGTGTGCTGAGTGAGATTTGATCCCTAGACCTACCCTGTACCTTGTACGTTCACCCTGTGTGCTGAGTGAGATTCGATCCCTAGGCCTACCCTTTACCCTGTACATAATCCCGGCGATCTGCTTAAGACTCGATCCCTCGGTCTGTAGATTAGGAGTTAGGTCGGTTACCATTAGGCTTAGGAAGGTCTGTTCTAGAAGTCTCTATCTGAGTCTACTGGGGCCTAGAGGCTGTTTGTAAGTCTGTAGGCTCTAGAAGGGCGTAGGTCCCTGTAGGCCAGTCCAGTCAGCAAGTACCAGGGGTAGGGACTGCACGTGGGGAAGGTCCGGGACCACGCTGTGGGTTCCACACGTTTTGGCCAGAAGGCCAAACGTCTGGAAGCTTCCCTGGGTCTCACGTTTTGGCCCAGGCCCACACGTTTTGCGGCAGGGCCCAGGTACCTCTGAAGAAGTATAAAACAAAGAGGCAGCGTGCAGCCATTCATTCATTCGCCTGTGTGCCATGCGGAAGAGCTGCCTTGGTATCTTGTGCGTGGAGGTCTGCAGGTCCCCGGAGAGGAAGTGGGCTGTGAAGAAGACAGCGGCCATAGCGAACCAGCGAGAGAGACACCGGCGGCCATAGCTAGGAGGAGGAAGACGACGGCGGCCATAGCCGCCCAGCTGTTGGTGTAGACAGAGTGTGCAGAGTGTGTGTGTTTGTGCATCGTGGACATTCAGGGTGATCCTCGTACGTGCATTCGTGCGAGAGTGTGGGAGAGTGAGGCTGGTGGTAGAGACTGTTTGGCGGCCATAGCCTCAAGTTGTACAGTTGATTCAGACTGAGTTTAATACAAGCTCATTGTTGTTTCTGAGTTGGAAGAGTTCGCTTTTGCCATCGGTTCTCAAGTGTGCATGTCGTGAGCAAGTCCAGAGTCGAGTCTGATTGCATAATGATTAATCGGGTTTTTTTGCGAGGATTTTAGTATTTTACCCCTCGGAGTAACTGCATAAGGCCACTGAAACGGACCTGTGCCCACCCTAAGCGAAGCCGGCCCCCTGAATTTTCAATGAGCCCACAGTTTGCGAACTTTAGCAAATCTTGGTGGGCGCCAGACAGTTGCCATGCGCCAGTTGGTTACATCTGCCGTGCTCGTGAGAATCTGAGATATTCGTGAGCCTTCCATGCTCTTCCAGCAGCGTGGTGAACGCAGGGAGCACCACACGTTTGTGCCTGGGTTGTTGGGCATGCCTAACCAATTCGGTCGCAGGCCACCGTCTGAACGGGCCTGGATGCAGACACTTTGGCTGAGAGTGAAGCTACTGGAAACTCGGTTGGGCATGCCGAACCAATTCGGTCCCAGGCCGCTGTCTGAACGGGGCTGGGCGCAGACACTTTGGCCGAGAGTGAAGCCACTGGAAACTCGGTCGCAGAGGCAGACAGCAGGCAGCGCGCCCGCATTTTGGATATAGGAAACTGCCGGGTGCAGATTGAGGTATTCGGGCACTTGTGATTGCGTGCGGCAGCGCTGCTCGAGCAAGCGAGAGCTCGCGCCTGCTGTATGCGCTAGTGCCGGGTGATGCGAGCACGGCCCCGGGGAAGACAGGGCGCTGCAAGCGGGCAGCACCATAGCCGAGCCCTCATAGCCAGGCTCGAGCTTATATATGGTCCACAAGTGGAGGTGGTGGTGGTCTTCGGGGTAGAGGAAGAAGACGTTGGTGAAGAGGACAAGGGTGAGCTATGAGAGAGAGATGAGGATGATGACGTGAGGGCACGTACCTGGTCTTGGCGATTGTCTGCATGGTGGACATCTGCATGTACGTTGGTTGGTGCTGCTGACGTCAACAAGTGGCTTGTCATGTCGTTGCTTGTAGAGTAGATGTAGGATAGTAGTCTGGGCGCTGAGCGCCAGTAGGAGGAAAGGGTTCTGGATACATACGTTGTGGTGGCGAGAGTATGCTCTCATTGACATTTGGATTCGGTGATTTGGTTCTCCATTGGTGGAATATCAGTGCATTTCTGCTTTCTGGACTGCGCTGGACTTTCTGGCTTTCAATGTGATTTTGCATTCTGGA